TTTTCTCTGAGGATGTGTTGTGGAGTGTAAAGCATCACGGGCCACCCTGGGCCAGGCTCGCCAGGCTCCAGCATCAGTGCAACCCACACTCGGGTACTGAAGTGCAGTCTATGAATGCCAGGTGACAGTAAGAGAGCAAAACTGCCCAAGTTCACATCAAAACCCAGCCAGGTACTGCACATCTGAGACCTCGCAAAAGCAGTGAACACACTCCAGTGGTGAGTGGTGGTCGTGGTGGTCTTGCAAGTGGGGTTTCATTCAGAGTGCATCGAGGTGGTCAAACCCCCGCTAACCCACATCCCAGTAAGAAATTAGATATCAGAAACACTGTTTCAGACATGTGCTGCTCAGCAAATGGCAACAACCCCAGCCATTTGACTCCTGCTGGAATCTCCCTTCTTTTAATTATGCTGGGAAGGTCCCTGCAGAAGCTGGGGTGCAGGCTTGTTCTGCATGATCATCCCAGTCACGGGGCACATCCTTCCACCAGTCCTGCCTGGTCATTCCTCAGCCCAGCTGTGCTCACCTTCTGCCGCCAAGGGAGGTGGCTGGCTGGACTTTTCTGGTAGGGGACTGTGCACCCTCCACTCTGCCCCTGGATGAGCAGAAAAACATCCTGACTTGCCTGTTTCCTCACTTAAAAGAATGTATAGTCTGGGGTGATGTCTGAAGGAGCCCTCCAGGGTTCACCCTTTATAAATTCAATTTTCTAAACAACCCAGCTGCAAAAGAGAGGCACTTCCATTTGAGCTCAGCCTGAAGGAGACTACGGGACAGCAGGACTCCTGCATGAGTCCCATGGAGGCCTTGGCCACAGATTGCTCAGTCAGAGGTGGACGGTCTCGGGACCAAACCCAGTGGTCACCTCCCAGGTGAGAAGTAGCTTCTTGTTCACTGGGGATGTCAGAGTCTGGTGACCTTCGGGCTCAGCCTGCCACAGGCACAGGCCTACTGGCTCCTAGGTCAAGTGGATATCCCTTCCCATGGCATCCCAGACATCTGACTCATGTGAGCATTTGGTTCCCAATGTTGCCATCCTTCCCTGTGCTCTGTGTCATCATTTTCCTCTCCTGGATAGGCAAGAAAGTGCCCTGAACTCTCCCCACTGAGGGTCAGGTCCTCTTGTCAGCAAAACACTCTTTGGAAGGGCACTGATGCCGCTGCCCGGGTCACTGACAGATAGTAGTGTGGTCCAGTCAGAGCTGATTTCAGGAAATTCTGCTCATGCCTGGAAGGAAAGCCACACGAGCCAGGCGCCGTCAAGCAGCGTAGGTGACAATGGTGAAGAGGGCATCCTGGAAGGGTTGCCTTAGGATGTGGGTGTGCAGACAGACTCGGCTCTGGTTTCACAACAGACCTTAATCTCACTTGAACCATCACTAACCCTTAACGCGAAGGCCATGCTGAGCACAGATTATTCTCTTTCCAGAGATGATCAAATTGCTATGCTGTCTAAATGACAGCCATGAAAAAGTAACCTGTTCAAGAGCGTGGGGTCATCCAAGCCCTGTTGGTGCCAGGAGGACAGGTGTGCAAGGGGAGCTCTTTGTGCCCATGGCTTCTGTGGCAAGTCCTCCTGTGCCTGTGAGTGATCCCAAACAGCTGAGACATCCAGGAGGCTGTGCCCCCACCTTTCCACTGTCAGCTACTACTTCTCCAGCAGTGAGCTCCAAGAAGCTAGAAGAGTGGGGAGAGAAACTTTGGGTCCCAAAAAAGGTGGGCTATGCTTGGTCCAGGGTGCAGCAAGAGGAGCCTGTTCTACGAGCTGGTGCCATCCCCTCTCCTCATAGGCAGGAAGGAGGCTGCCAGGGCACGGGCATTGCTGGACCCTTGAGAGGCCCCATCTCCCACTGGAGCTGTACTGTGGTCCCAGTGTACTCTCAAAAGTCCCAATATGCAGAGCTCCAACCTCACCAAAGCTCAGCACAGACATCCAAGCCCACAACCTGTACCAGCAACCAAACTCTTTTCTTGCAAAACCTTTTAGGAATGGAGTGGTCATGTGGTGGGGGCCCTGGGTTATTCCTTCATCACCCCTGAACTAGTAGCTACCAATCCACCTCAGGAAAGCCCAGAGCCAAACTTGAGTCACCAGCTTCCCTCTGCAGAGGCCTTGGGAGACCAAGGTAAGACAGATGCAGGCCTGGCCAAAAGGCCTGTCAGTGTCCCTAACATGGCCACTCGGGAATCTGCACATTTTAATGCTGTCCCACAAATGAACTTTGACCTGGACATAAACTTCGATAGGCGCTGCTTCTTCGAAGCTACTAGGTTAGAGCGCATTTGACCTTTCGCTTGGAAAAGTTTCAAAAGCTAAGAGGTCCAAGGGTTGCCATGAACCAAGGTGGGGACGCACAGAAGGGACAGGGGTAGGTGGCTCTGGCTGGAGAGCTGGCATCTGATCATCTGCACTAAACACCCCAAAACACATGCAGTAAGTGCGTGATGGTGTGCCTTTAGAAAAGGGCCATTTCTCCTAAAAATGGGATGAGAATAAAAAATGTTCTTCTCTAAGATGTAATAAATCTTTAATGAAAACAAAATAACCTCCGTGATCAGGCTTCCACATCCCAGCCTGAGGGCAAGGGAAGAAGATGGAGGCTCAGGGACTGACTGGCCACCACGACATGGCAGGAGTCATCCCACGCTCCAGTCCACACCTCCTGTCCTTGTCTCAGCCCTCGTAATCCTCGAGCAGAAGCGGTTCATGGTTGCCTTGGCAACCCAAGGATTCAAGACTAAGGAAAGTACACAGCCAAAATCACTTGTTGGATTCTGAAAACACCTTCTGCTCACTGACTGCATCTGAACCTCCAGCACCCAGGCTCTAGGAGCAATCTACTCATTGTCATGGCGTCAGCCCCAGCATCACTGCCTGTGAGTGTCCTGACACAGGTGGTGGGGTGCCCCTGTACTACCTGTGCTTGTCACATGTGCTCACAAAGCCTCAGGTTTTGGTCAGAGCTGGAACAAGATTACAAAAAATCAGGAGCAGATGTCACTGTCCCTGTCCACTGCCCCTCTCCACAGGGACAGTTAGCAAGGAAATGATTGCTCTTCTATCAGCTCAAAAACATCTTTTCTGATTCAATTCAATTTAGCCTCAGTGGTTGGGGGCTACCTCTGGGGACATCAGTCCAAGTCAGGAGACAATTGTCCTTGTCATGATGGGGCAAGCACCACTGGCACCTCATGGGAGGAGGCCAGGGACACTGACCAACATCCTACAGTGCTCAGAATGCCTCCTCAGAGAGTGACCCAGCCTGAGAAATCCTGATTTTTTTTTTTTTTTGGTGGTACTGGTGTTTGAACTCAGAGCCTTACCCTTGCTAGGCAGGTACTTGAGCCATGCCCTCAGTCCTTTTTGCCTTAGTTTATCTTTCAGGTAGGGTCTGCCACGTTTTGCATGGGGCTGCCTCAGACTGTGATCCTCCCATTTCTGCCTCCATGTAGCTGTGATTACAGACATGCACCACCATGCTTAGTCCCAAACCAACTTTTACTTTGGCTCTGCCCTCAGTGGTTCAGTGCCCAGGTGAGAATGGCAATGAATAAAGAAGCTACTGATGAATTCAGAGCTGCCTTTTGGGAAGACGAAAACATTCTGGAGTTAGGTAGTAGTAGTAATGATCGCATAGCAGGAATGTATTTAATGTCAGTGAGTTACACACTTAAAATGTTTACAATGATCAAGTTTAGCTACTTGTGTATTTTACCACAATAAGAAACGCTACAATGTATTGAGCCCCCTCAGGAGAACTTCCCTGCTACCTCACTCCAGGCTCCTGAGACACCTCAGCTAAGGAGAAGGGTTGCTGTGAGCCCCAGGAAGGCAGGGGGAGCAGGCAGCCCTCGCTCAGCCCAGCACACAGCATCCTTAGGATTTTCGGCATTTTTCAGGGCTTAGAACCCCATGGATTGCTGCTTTCTGCCTACCTCTGTCCATTCATGCTCTCCCTGGTTGATTTCTAACCTTCATCCTAAAGGGGCCTCTCATGGGCGGGCGCTGGCCAGGAAGCCTCCAACCAGGCGCTAATCAACTACCCTCCCCTGACCAGGACCAAGGATCTGAGCCTGGGAGAAAAGGCAGATGCTATGTCCCAGAGGACAGGGAGCTTGTTCCTCTCCTGCTACCTGCTACTCAGAAAGGGCCCAGAGTAAACTGAGTTGCTACTAGGTGCTTAGCACCAGGAACAGAACCTGGTATTCAGTAAACATTTAATTTACTATCTGCTTGTCTGGAGACACACGGAACTGTCACACAGGCCACGAAGACCACCTCCAACACACTAGGCTCAGAGCCCTCCAAGGTAGTTCAGTGAGTCCTATGCAGGACAGAAGGAGGCTCTTGCCTTGCTTTGTGTGGCAATGCTTAGTGGCTATCAGGAGGGAGTCCGTTGCCTGTTTGTCTGAACTGCAGAAACTCACTCGCATTAATGTGTGTGACACACCGATCCCTCACTGTGAAGCCCCTTTCAGCCACAACACCCCAGCTCAAGGCAAGCTGAGGGACTGAGAGCCAAGCATGATCAGGACCACAGGCAGAAGTCTGGGGCAGGGAATTTAAAGCTGACAGACACTCTGGAGACTGAATGGTGCCAAGAGAAGGCCCTGTTCATGAGGGTACGTAGCCAAGGCCACCCCCCACAACCCCTTCCAGTCCAAAGAGCTCTCCCCAGGCATCTCCCCACTGTTCCTACTACAGACCCTGCAGCTTCCCTCTCAGCTTCGGAGGAGCCCCACCTGGAGTGTTGGTGAGGCTGGTGCTGCACTGATGGGGACAGACATGCAGGGGCTCCATCAGGGCCCTAGAGTCACCCCAGCCTTTGAGACATGCTGCTGTCATTGTCTACGGTAACACCAGCGTACTGTGAAAGGGGTGATGGTGGGAAGCCACCACTGGGAGCCTGGAATGAGCCACTTCACCTACGGCCATGAGGCCACAGACACAGTGCTCTGGGGCTGCTCTGTACCCTGCCTGTCTCAAATGAAGGGCTTACTTGAGTCTCGGCTGCTGAACGGCCATCCTGAAGGAAGGAAGGAGGGCACTGGGGAGCTGGCCCGGCTATCATCCTCCACCTGCTGTGTGATGTGTCGGACAGTCTCTTTGTTTTTCCGATTCTTCCTCCGGCCCGTAGGCTGCCAGCCATCCCCAGCACCCTGCTCCGAGAAAGAGTTCTGTATTGCACTGTCCTTGGTGGAAGGCAGCTCGCCCCCTCCGTAATGAGATGGTGAAATCTGCTCTTCCTTGACACGCAGAGACCCGTAGCCCACATCTCCAGGCCACAGAGACTGCAAAGAAACATCATCAGGGCCGTCGGCCTTGGGCTCCTGGTCCTCCTTCCCATAGCTGCTCCCTCCTTCGTGACAACTGGCAATGGCAGAGTCTCCAGAAGAATTGGCCGGACTTGTTCGCCGAGCCAGCCACGGGGAGATGCTCCTCCCAGCCATCACGGCTGAGATCAGGGCTTCTGTGCTGCTGCTAGCTGGGGCGCCAATTTCGAACTCTGAGAGCTCGTCCGAGGCATCCGACTTGATGCTAATGTCCAGTGCGGCCTTGATGAAGTCGTGGCAAGCCTGCACGATGTCCGTCATTTGCAGGAAGCTGGCGGCAGACATCACCTCGATGACATTCCTGCTGGTGAGGGCCAGGTGAGCAGAGTACATGAAATCTATAATGGCCTTGAAGCCCTGGGCTGTTACAATGTCCAGGTGGGTGACCGTGGCCTGCTCAGATGTCTTCTGCACCTGGCAGTAGAGCGTCTTGAAATAGCGGCTGCTCCCGAGCAGGACGTTCTTATGTGCCTTGAAGACCTTGCCCTCTACCACGACACACACGTCACACAGCACACCGTGTTGCCTCTGCTCATTGAGCTCTCGAAGCAGGTGCCGGTAATGGGACGTGATTTCCATATCTTCCTTTCGGTTGTTCATCTGGAAGTCTTGCTGTTGCCTCTTCTATAGACTCTGTGGGGGCAAGAATGGACGGGTTATCCACGCATGAAACACTGGCTCAGGTGTGAAAATCAGCCCAGGTGGAAGGCCGTAGGAACAGCGTCCATCCAGCACACCCAGCAGTACAGGGGGAGCCGCAGAGACCACAGCCACCACTGGGACAGAGTGGACACCATGGGGACAAGTGCTGACCTGGAACCCGTCCACATGACCTAGAGTGCCGGTGTGTGAAGAAGCACTGGGCCCTCACTCCCGTGGGGAAGTAAGCCGCGGGTGAGCGCTGTCCCTGTCCCGGGCGGATGTCTGAAGGAAGTTTCCACATTCGTAATGGACCTGGGTCTCTGAGCATCATCCTACACACAACGACTGACACATCCCAGAAATAATAAGTCACCCATCAGGAGATAAAGTAGCTTTCTTACCCAAGCTGAAAATCTAGGTTAAATAAACTATCTTGTGGCCTTCATCCCTCACACTTGAAGAAACACCCTCACAAATGTATAAATAAATGAAACTTCCTACACAAAAAGCCCGCAGAGCAGCAAGAACTCAAAGCAGACATTCACAGCCTTAGGCCTGCAGAGGGTGGGAGGTTCTGCTCTGGGAGGGGCCTGGATCACAGCTCAGGGCCTGAGAGGCTTCCAGGAGCCATGGAACGTACTGGAAGCAGTTGGATTCTCCTGTTTTCCCCCTCGCGAAAGACAGCCCCACCTTGAGAACCATGGTAATTCTCCTGACTCGGTCGCTTAGCCTCTAACTCATGCTTCTCACAGCTGCACAGCCACCAAAACACGGGTCTTGGATGGGGCTGTGTGCACAAATTCACCCCCACCCCACAGCCCTGGAGACTCAAGTCTAAGAGCAAGGCTGCACAGGGCCCCTTTTGTCTCTCTCCCTGACTTGGATGCTACCAGCAATCTGGTGAGCCATGGCTCAGCCCACGTCACTCACCTCTGCCTGTGAGTGCCTGTCCAAACGCCTCCTTCTTACAAGACACTGATCATAACTGGGGTTCAGGGCCTCCCCTAGGACTTCATCCTCACTGTATTTGCAACTATCCTGCTTCCAAAACAGATCACATTCTGAAGTCCTGGGGGTCAAAACTTGGATGCTTGAATTCCTCGGGGATACATCCAACCCTACGACTGCCAGAGGAGAAGGTCATCAAGCTGCACAAAAGGAGAACAAACGGGGTGAATGTGGCACAGCCTGAGACCTTCCAGGAGCCACCAAACCACTCCATACAGCTCCTCTGGGCCAGAGGGGGACTCAGGAGGCTTCATACTTTTCTTCTTTGTGGTGCTGGGTATTGAACCAGGGCCCTGGACATGCTAGGCAACTATTCTACCACTGAGCTACAGTCCCAGCGGTACTTGGTTTTTTGAGATAGGACCTTACTGTGTAGCACAGGTGAACTCAAACTCAATATCCTCCTGCCTGTGCCTACTGAGTGCTGGGATTACAGGTGTGAGCTGCTATACCCAGCCTCAGACTCTTCCTGACTCACTGAAATTGTGACCACACACGCCCTCCCTTAGTCACCCCTGAAATGACCTGTGAAATGCCCATATGGGGAAGCAGTGACTCTATTTTACACTTCCCTATTTACCTGGAAAAAATGAATCAGGAAAAGAGGTTTTTGTTCCTTGTTTTCCCTTTGACTGCCAGGGTCCCAGTTCCAGTCTGCCTGCCATGGTGAGTTTCCCAGCCTCCCAGTAGCTTGTTTGGAGCTGTGAGGACAATGCTCCACCCTTGCCTGGGCTCCTTCTGCTGGTGGCAGCCCCAGTGCACAAGGACAGCCACAACATACCAGCCTGAGACCTCAGTGACAAAAGGCTAGACTGTCCCCCCATCCTAACTGAGAGATCCTTTAATAATTAGGGAGAGGCCAGGAAAATGGACCTGTGAAGCACTGTTGTGCAGCAAGCGCCCATGGATGACCCACATCCAGAGGGACTCCCAGTGGATAACCTTTCGAGGCTTCCACAGTGGTTTGTAATGCTCTTTCTTCAAAATCAATCAGAGAACATGGCCAGTGTGAGTGAGACACTGGACTGACCTCAGTTCTGGTGTTGACCATTCCCAATTTTCTCGTCAAATCTGCTTTTCTATGTCCAAAGAACAAATGGATCCTTCAAATGACTTAAAAGATGCCCCTGGATTTGAGTGTAGCTTAAATCAGTTAGATTTAGAGAACAAATCCAAATATACAAAAAAAAAAAAAAAGACCTCTTTCTGAGTTAAGTTTCTTCATAATGACCAATGGTTTGATTTGAAATTTATTTCCTTTCATAGATTGTGTTCTAAACACCCCATTTCTCTCTTTGAAGTTTGGCCAAAACATCTTCATTACCCTCCCACCTCGTTCTCAGAGTTTTCTCCCCTTCTCAACAAGAATATCAATATCAGCATCTGAAAGAGCGGTTTACCAAAGTACAATTGTCTGTAGGCCTCATGTTACCTGGGAGTATGAGTATCAATTATAAAATACTGAGCAATCAAAAAGCAGCATTAAAAAAAATAGGCTATAGCAGTGCTATAATCCCAGCTACTTGGGAAGCAGAGCTCGGGAAGATCAAGGTTCAAGGCCAGCCCAGGCAAAAAGTTAGCAAGCTCACCCTACTCTCCATCTCAACCAATAAGCTGGGCATGGTGGTCCCATGCTTGTCATCTCAGCTCTCTGGGAGGCCGCTGGTAGGAAGATTAAGGTTCAGGCCAGCCTGGGCAAAAACTTGAGGCCCTATTCAAAAAGTAACTAAAGCAAAAAGGGCTGGGAGTATGGCTCAAGTGGTAGAGCATAAGGCCCTGAGTTCAAACCTCAGTATTGCCACGCACAAAAAAGTAAAGATTCTAGAGAACAAAGAAAAGGAAATGCCAATGACTTTCTTCAGAAGAAACAACTACCTCTCAGGGTTTGCATTTCTAAAATAATTTCAACATAAATTGCAAGTTATAGAAATAAATTACCAATAAGGACAGCTTAAAATCAGCTGTGTACTCACAGGTTTGATAGTAAGAAAAAACATAAAAGTTTCATTTAGAAAAAAGTTAGTTGTAGGGTAACAGGAAATAAAGTGCTAATCTTTCAAGAGATTAGTCTGTTACAGAAATGTTCTGAATATGCACCGTCTGTCCAGGCACAAGGAAGTTTTAGGACATGGGTTAGGTTTCAGATTTGCTAATTCCTCAACATCAGGATGTTTGTGGGTCACCATGGCAGAAGTGTGGCCGCAGGCACCTGCTTCCCTGTTGCTGTTGGCAGCTGTGCCCTGAACACGGAGTCCTGGGCACATAGCAAGAGGCACCATATAGACTCCAGAGCAGGTGTGTTCCCCACACCTTTTCTTTGTGGGAAAGGATGGCAGAGCACCTGCCCTGGTGGAGTGTCCCATCTAATGACCACACCTGTCCACAGGACACACACAGGTGGATAGACAACCTTCCCTCCATCTCTGCTGCATGGGATCCCAGGATCCTTTCAGGGAGCACCCTGCAATCACAAGAGGACACAGACACCACTCCAGAGTAAGGAAAGGTCCAAGGGGTGTGTGAGAGAAAGGGACAGGGTAGGTGCTGCCACACTGCTGTCATACTGCACAAAAGTTACACAACTACCATCTTAAAGCCATGCCCTTTCTATCATGCCTGCCATTTGTTTCCTCTTTCCACGTAGATTCTCCGGGACCCGTTTTATTTATAACTTACGCATCTCAAGGTACTTCAGTTTCAAACAGAATCACTTCAGAAACAACCTTTAGTAATTCTACTTTGGACCAAAACAACTTGAATCTACATTCCAGAACCAAACTCCAAAAATCATGTCACCCAATTCAGTGCAAAAGGATGTGTGAAGCTCTTTCCAACCTGGTAAAGCCGGTACACAGTAAGCAGTGACCATGATCTCATGGTTCCAGGTAATGAAGGGTGGCAGCTAGCGAGCAGGCCTGTCCTGTTGGCCAGTAAGTTACCTGGCCCTGCTTGTGCCACCTCAAGTCCCACAGCCAGCAGGAACGGGTGGAGTTGGGCTGCATGGTGCACGCTGAGGAACTGAAAGCTCAAAGACACTGAGGGCTTGGCCATGACCTCACAGCTGATGCACACAGCCCAGATGCAGACACAATGTGCACTCTCCATGCCACAGTGGGCACTCCTGCCACCTTGCCATACTGGGCTAGTTTCAGGGACTGAGATCACAGCAAGTGTGTGCCAGCTCTGCCAGTCTAGTGATCCAGACAGCAAGGCTGTGGTATCCACATCTCCAACAGAAGGAACCATGTACTGGGCACTGGTGGCTCACACCTGTAATCCTAGCTACTTGGGAGGCTGAGACCAGGAGGACTGAAGTTTGAAGCCAGCCCAGGCAAATAGTTCATGAGAACCTATCTTGGAAATACCCAACACAAAACAGGGCTGATGGAGTGACTCATGGTACAGCACCTGCCTAGCAAGTGTGAGTCTGAGTTCAAACCCCAGAACCACCAAAAAAAAGAAGACATCACATCCTATCCTCCTCCTCCTCTCTGAGTGGCAGGAACATGTCAGGTGATGCTGACGGGAAGGGGGACAGGTCACCTTTATTAAGTCAATCGATTACCAAGCCCTTACAGTTCCATCAGTAGGGCCATCTTGGCAGTAACAGAACACACTCCAAAACTTTGCAACCAGTGTCAGAAAGGAAAGGGACACCAACTATAAACCTATTCATTTATTAGTAACTCCAGCTACCCATGCTTCACAGGAAAAGGCCAACTAAAGTAGCCCATCTAAAAATGCCCCAGGACCAGGAGATGTGAAGATTACCAAGACTTCATCCACTCACTGAATCCCAGGTAATCATGTGAGAGCAGGATGGGGCATGTTTTCACTTTGACCCTAAGGACCCCCACCAGGAAAACCACTTACTGTAATCAAAGTGTCAAACACTGGATTTAGACCCATGTCTCTGCCACGCCCAGACACCAGTCTGTGGGGTTTTACATCAGAGCTTGGGTCTGGGGCTGCACTCCCTGCTA